AAAACTGTTACAATTCAACATGTCCCCTGGGAATACAGACTGTGACCCTTGGATGCTGCCCACACTCAGGTGCAGATGTGGGCCTTCTGATGAAACTTCTCCGCAGCAGCCCGGGGGAGGAGGCAAGGTGGGCTCCCATTCTGAAGCTGGGCGTTGTTCTCCTTGGTGTCAGCTTCTCTCTGAGTGTTGTCACCACGGTCCCCTTGTAGAGCGCCTTGATTGAGATCAAAGTGTGTGTGCATGCATCGTTTTATCCAGAGCCTGCTTCCCTCCTGCCACTTTCAATGAAATTTGCGAGTCATTCCGGGCGCCTTCAGAGGAAGAAGGCTTCTCTCTCTCTGGCTGGCTCAGTGAGGAGCTGCTCAAAGAGAAGTTACTTAACAAGCTCTCGCCTGTGCATGGCTTCTGTGAGCACGTCTTGCTTTCCTGGGCTCCTGGCTCTGGCCTGCAACTTTCCTGACCCATCTCATTTTCATGCCCTTTTTGGGGAGTTACAGCAGGAGGCTCAGATGGGAGCAATTAGTTTCAGCAGGTAATTAGGCTTCTGGGCTTGGGCTCTGAGAGACAATTGGAAATTTTTATTTCAAGTCTCTTTAAAGTCCTCCCGAGTCTGAATCAGATGGTAAGGTGTTTAGAAAACCCAATTACATCCCACTAGCATACGAAATGTTCACAATATAGTCAAGGAAGCATATTGCCTTTTACTTTAAAAATGAACCTTTTTCCCCATCTTTGCAACTTACCATTTGCCTGGTTGCAAGAAACACAAGCAACAGAGGTCTCCTGGTCCACCTGCTTCCTGTCGCAGATCAGTTAAAAGGTAAAATGGTCCGAGGACCACGGCTTCAGGCACTTGGCCTGTCTATCGCAACCATGGAATGAGGTCAGAGACGAAGACAATTACTTTAGAGAATATTCCCCACCCAGTGGTCGTGTGAATGTGCTGAAAGGTGATCTAAAGTGTCGAGAAGGAGGGACTTATGGGGATTCCCGGAACGTCACTGGCTAAGATGGTGCTTCCTGCAAAGACCATGCTGTTTCCTTGTGAACTGTTCCATGGTGTCCAGGCTCTGCCTAGTCTTCCCTGGAGATTGGGCCCTATTAATTTTAGAGAAGGTGCTCTCCAGCAAGCTTGAATAATCAGGCATTTCCCCTACCCCCATATCTGTCTCCCAGACATTTCCACTCATTGCTCATTTTTATTTTTTGAGATGAGATTTCACTCTGTTGTCCAGGCTGGAGTGCAGTGGCATAGTCATAATTCATTGTAACGTTGACCTTTCAGACTCAAGCAGTCCTCCAGCCTTAGTCTCCCAAGTAGCTAGGATTTCAGGGTGCACCACCATGCTGAATTTTTAAATTTTTGTTGTTGAGACTGGATCTCAAACTCCTGGGCTCAAGTGATCTTCTGGCCTCAGTCCCACAAAGTACTAGGATTACAGGTGTGAGCCACCATGTCTGGCCTGCCCATTGCTCTTAATTCTGGTCTCTTGAACACACAGACTAGGAAGGAACTCTTTACAGAAGAAAGAATGTTTGAAGTGTTGAAACGGATCTCAAGGACATTAGGAAGCCTTCTTGGTGATGGACAGACTACTTGAGGAGCTCCAAAATGTTCTGTTCATAGCTGTATCTTCAGCTTAGATAGGGCTGCCATCAGCTGATAGGAGACTAGCTGATATGGTTTGGCTGTGTTGTAGCTCCCATAATTCCCATGTTCATGAGAGGGACGCAGTGGTATGTAATTGAATCGTGGGGGTGGGTCTTTCTCATGCTGTTCTTGTGATAGTGAGTAAGTCTCATGAGATCTGATGATTTGACAAAGGGGAGTCCCCCTGCACCAGCTCTCTTGCCTGCCACCATGTAAGATGTGCCTTTGCTCCTCATTCACCTTCAGCTCTGATTGTGAGGCCTGCCCACCCATGTGGAACTGTGAGTCAATTTAACCTCTCTCCTTTATCAATGACCCAGTCTCAGGTATGTCCTTATTAGCAGAGTGAGAACAGACTAATACACTGGGAAAATTAGAGAAAAACAACAGTTGGGACACATAAATTCAGGAAAGGCACTTCCTCTGAATGAGCACAGCTCCATGGACATGGGGCTGCATTAGAGGATGCCATCTGTGTGCAAAGGAAGAAGATGAGCTGGGCAGTGCACATGCCTCCAAATCTGTTCACCCTGGTGAGAGAAGGATCAGAAGCACCCTGATCTTGTTGCTAGCACCCACTTGTATGTTTGTAAATAAACAAGAGGATGGGGCCAGGCATGGTGGCTCACACCTGTAATCCCAGCACTTTGCAAGGCTGAGGTGGGCATATTGCTTGAGCCTAGGAGGTCACAACCAACCTGGGCAACGTGGTGAAACTCCATCTCTACAAAACGTACAAAAATTAACCATGGGTGGTGGCATGCTTCGGTAGTTCCAGCTACTCAGGAGGCTGAGGTGGGAGAATTGCTTGAGCCCGGGGGCTGCAGTGAGACATGATTGCACCACTGCCCTCCAGTCTGGGCAACAGAGTGAGACCCTGCCTCAAAAACAAACCAAAACAAAAAAAACACAAAACAAAACAAAACAAAACAAAACAAACACAAGTGGATAAGCCAGTTCTCACACAGCAGTCAAGTAAGCATCCTGGGGATGGGATTGAGAAAATAATGTCCAAAAAGTCAAACTGAGTGGCCATTTCCACCTTGTGGTTCATGTTTGTAGAAGCTGGAGGGTTTAAGCATGGCATCATTGGTGAAGTCACAAGAATAATAAATCACAGCAACTGCCATCATATGGAGGGAAGAAAGCATTAAAGCTAGTGTAGAATCTGGGTGGAGTCCTGGCTCTGTCATTCCCAGCTGGTCAGCATATGTTCTGCTTCTGAGCCACAGTTTTCTCATTTATAAAATGGCGAAGGGAGGAAGTACACCCACTTCATAAAGTTGTGTAGGGTGTAAAAGAAAGGAGTTCTATGGCACAGCTTGGTAAATGATAGAGCCCCATATGTATTTGAGGTAGGATTATGTTGTCTAATTTGTGTTTGGCCAAGATTCAAAGTCTCTTGAATTCTCACAGAGAAAAAGCACTCAGGTTTGTGGTGAGAAAATTGAAGGACTTTCCTCACTTTCTAGGAAACAATCCAGATACCAGGTGGATCCTTCAGGGCTCCACGCAGGAAACAGAAACTACTTGAGGTGAAAGTGGCTGAATACAGGGAATCAAGTGCTCATGAAATTATCAGATGGAAGGAGAAGTGGACTCTGGGGATTCAGAGACATGCCACCTTGCAGAGTGAGTGTGTGTTGCAGAATGACCTGCCAGGCAGCTGCCATTTCTTTCACCATCAGGAAAGTGAGGAATCAGGAGACTGCCATGGAACTATTGATCCCAACAATACATGAAAACAGAGATCTCTTGGTTGGGCAATGGGGCTCAGGAATCTGCTGCCACCGTTGTAACTATGAGGACACCTGGACAGTATCATGCAGTTATGGAGGTTGTAATGTCCTCTCCACACCTGCTCAGTTGGTGGCCTGACACAAGTGCTGGTGCTGGCAGAATCAGCCATGGGAAGCCAGGAGATGGCCTCATTTCTTCCACATCCCCCTGGGAAGCATCTTTCTGCTTGACCGAACTCAATCTCATCTGTGGGTGAAGGTGTGTTTGTGACCTATTCCTGCTTAACAGATTACAGCAAACTTGGCACACATTTATTGATTTCTGTGGATCAGGGATCCAAGTGGGCTTGGTTGTGTCCCATTCCTCCTGTGGCTACCATCATGGTGCCTTAGCTGGGGCTGATGTCTCATCTGAAAGCCCAACTGGGGAAAGCTCTGCTTCCAAGCTCACTCGGGTTCTTGGTAAGCTCAGTTGCTCCAGGGGTGACAGAGACCTCAGTTCCTTGCTGGCTGTTGCATGGAGCCACCCTCCACTCCAGTTCCTTACCACAGGGAACTCCGCAATGTGAGGGCTTACATCCTGGAAGCTGAGATAGCCAGAGAGAGTCTACTGGCAAGAGGGAGGTTACAATCTCTTGTAAGCTAATCAAGGAAGTGAAATTTTATCCCCTTAATTACACGTGTCATCCCATCATCCTATTGGCTAGAACATGTCACTAGCTCACCTCACACTGATGGGGATGCAGGATTCCACAGGGGCATGAATACCAGGGGGTGGGGATCATTGGGGACTACGTTTCTATCAGTTCACCACAAAGAGATTCTAGAAAATGTATTTTTAAATTTTTCAACCTTAGTAGTACAAGAAGAGCTTGTGGAGGAGCTGGAAATTCATGCTAAATGCCAGTAGGCCATATCCAGTGGACAACAGGAAAATAAAACCCACAGGGCAACACGAGGAGCACTCTGGACATCATAAAGCAAGTGAGATTCCCTCTACATAGGTCTGGTGACAGGCAGGGCTTTGCAGCTTAGAGACTGCTTTCTACAAATGTCACTGCCAGTGAGTGGTCTCCAGTGAAAAGACTGTAAAACAATACATTGTCCATAGTAGAGCAGCAAGGAATCCTCTGCTAAGAAAGGGATGCACAATGATGCATCTGAACCCAGTCATCAACAGCCCAGAAGTGAGCACCAGACCCCAGCCTTTCAGATGCAGCACATGCACCATCCTGAGCTCAATGACCCAATCTAATAAATGGGAATAATGACAGTCTCCACCTGCTGGGTTGGTGAAGAGTTAGTTAATAACTACTTTTCAATGTTAATTGTCTCTTTGATAATTAAGTAACTAGCACATTGCCTAGCATATTGCAAACGATAAAAAATGTGGGTTATTCTTACTTTACAATCCAATGTCTTCCTTTCCCAGATGAAGAAGCTGTGGGCCAAAGGAATAAGGTGACTCACGGTACATTAGTGTCCAAAATATCTATGGTCACTTAGTGGAGGTAAGCCTTGCAGCCAGGTCTCTTACACCCAATCCTCTTTCCATCATACTCTAAGAGAGAAATTTCCAGTAAAATAGGCAATGGTCCACTGTTTCAGTTGAAATTGCCATTTTTATAGTTTAAAATGGCTGCATGTTGATGAGTTCACATGGTTTAGGGGAGACGCTGGCATCTTGAGTCTTCCTGCCAGGCACAGGAAGTTGTCCGGCCTGAGCACACTTGTAGAGTCTCTGGCCTCTTGGTCAAGTGGTCAAGGATACTCTCAAGGTCAGGTTCAACGTGTCTGCCTCAGATGACCTTAGAGCTAACACAAATGACCCGAAGCTCAGGTTGAGAGCATTTGAGTCAGCTGACTTCGTATCGTGAGTCTGCATTAGAGAAACCCACATATTCTCCCGTTTCCTAATTAACATGAAGTTCATACTTACACATCAGGGTTTGGCTTGGTGTCTCTACCTTGCTCGCTGGTGTTTCTCTGACAGATAAAAGCTGGCATGAATTGGATGCTTCATTAAGTTGCCTGAAAGGGACAATATTCATAATCAACATGCTCTCAAAATCCGCTAAGTCCCACCAGCTGTGGTTTTGCTCTGAGACTAACGGGCCCAGGAGCTCATGGAGGACAACAGGGAGGGGGCCGGAGGGTTCCCACCTTGTGCTGCCGGGTTTCCACCTTGTGCTTCAGATTTGAAAATCCCGGGGCCTTCGGGGACTGGTAAGAAGCTGAGTCCATGTAAGGCGCCACAAGTCTCCCCAGCTTACAGATGAGAAGCCCCCTCCCCCAGCCACAACTTCCTGATTCCAGCTCATTGGTTATCCTGGAAGCCATTGCATGTGTAAGCAGCTGCAGGGAAAACAAGTGTGTGCAGCCGCCTGCAGGCATGGATAGAAGGGGCAGGGGCGGGATTTTTACTTCCTCTTGCCGCAAGTTTTGCTGGGCCTTCTCCTGGGAACACTGCAAAATCTCCCTGGAGAGATGACATCACATCATGAGGGTTAGAAAGGAGTTGGCTAAAATTCTGTGTTTAAATTGAAATAGGAGAGAAGGGTAGCCTTCAACCCTGGCTGCACATCAGATTGACCCAGAGAGAATTCAAGCAACAGCTCTACTCAGGAATCTTTCAAATAGCCCAGGATGTTTTGTTGCTCCAGGATGGGGGCTGTGCGTTTGTGTTTTTCAGAACAGCTCAGATGATTCTAGTGTGCAATCAAAGCCAAGAAACACTAATAGATGTAAATAAGTGTGTGCTAGAGTTGTGATGCATTGCTCGTAAAACTCCCCATATGTACATTTAGACCACTCATTCGTCTACAAACACTTCTTGTATTTCTTATCATGCTTAAAAGTTGCAGATACAGTGAGGAGGACTGGCAAGCTCCTGGCCCTTTCATGGCATCCAGGCCAGTGCCTAGCAGGGAACAAAGCAGAATTCAGCTAAAAGTAGCCAGCTTCTGCCAGGAGGACATTCAGAACGAGAGTTGGATGAGTTTGGTCCACCACAGGTACACTCTATTTATGCCAGAAAAGGGTGATCTCGGGGGAAGGCCTGCTGTGGGAGAGCGACCTTCACTTCCCCCATCATTGGGCATGCGTGATGGGCTGGGCATCTGCCTTATATGGGTTTGTTTGGAGCAATCCCATTTCACGGTGTGATGAGTGGGTGAGCTGGGAGGATAAAATGCTGATGAGTGGCTGCAGATAGGAACTCCTGGCCCATGTTTATTTTTAGACATTCAAGGTGGGCTTTGCTTAAGCCCGTATAACATTTCCAGGACTGGCCACGTGACGTGTCAGCACTTCAGAGGCACGGCTTAGTCCTTCCTGGTCAACATGAGGTTGTTGGTATTCACAGGATGACCTGTTTATGCTCAGAGGGGGGCACCAGAGCCAGGGATTCAGGGCAGCCTGTCACTGAGGATCCAGGTGACTTGAGAGAAGAGGAGACTGCTGTGTGTCCAAACATAGCTTCTAACATGCTTACTAAACTCTACTGTGTAAGACATGTGTCCTTATCTATGTAAATGAGAATAATGACACCTGAATGGTGGCATCATTGGGCAGATCAGAGTTGTGTCTGTAAAGTGTCAGGCACCATCCCTGACACATAACATGTGCTTAATGAATGGCAACTGGGGTTAGGTTTGTATCAGCTACCTATTGCCTCAATAGTGCCACATAACAAATTATCCCAGCATTGAATGGCTTGAAAGAAGTACCATTCACTATTTTTCCTTGAGTTTTGGATTGGCTGGGCAGTTCTGCTGATCTGAGCCAGGCTCAGCTGCCTCTACTGGGGTGGCTCGCTGTGCTGCAGTCAGTTGCATGTTGGTTGGGGGCTGCTGGTCCAGGGTGGTTCTGGAGGCCAGTCCCATCTCCTCTAGATATCGTTTAGATTATTTTTCTGTCAATCAACCCTGAATATGTTCTCTTGGTGGTGGCAGAGGTCAAAGAGAGTGAATATCTTTTCAGAACTTGGCTCGGGTCACCTTTGTTAACATCCATTGGCCATAGAAAGTTACCTGGCTGAGCCCAGAGTCAGTGGGAGAGGGATACGAGGAGGCCATTAATCAGGTAATCAATGCAACCACATGACCACTATGGTCATGGGAGAGAGGAAGACAGTCTACAAATCTCATGTGTCATTTCTCCTTAACCTGATCTGAGGTGCTCCCTAATTTGGTGAGAGTGGAGGTAAGACATTGCAAAGCTGAATGTAAGGTGACTATGCTTACGTTCAGCTTTGCAATGTAATGTATTTTGCTGAATGGCCAGAAGACTATGATGAGGGTTTGGAGAGGTAGAAATAAGAATCTAATATTGAATCCAGTAGGTTGCAATGATTAAAAAACAAAATTATAGGATATGCCTTAGAAACTGTGAAAATAGCCTCATTTTTATAAGACCTTTCAGAATGTGTCTGTTGAATGCATATTTTCTTTTGTAGTTTTCTCAACAGTAAACATCGGAATAATTGAATGTTTGCTGTTCAGAGATGCCTCTTTGTGTGAACTAATAAGTGCCTTTCGGTGCTGCATTTGCGGGGAGAACTTAAATAAAATGGCCAAGCATAATTAATTCTGCCCACTGCCAAGATGTTAATTGCTTCATTCTCCTTCATTTCAGAGTCAGAACAATGGGTCTTAATGGGCAGCCTATCTCTATCGAAGAATGACCAATCAGAGAACAAGACCAGGGCTTGAAGGTGATGGTGATCTGCCATTCAAAGTAACAGAACCCTGAGGAAAGGTGACAGACAGGTCCTTCTCAGAGCTGGTCTGCATCCCTGAGCCTCCTGGGTCCCCCTCCTTCTATGGTCTTCCCTCTCAGGTAGTTAGTAACTCAAAGGTTGTTTGGGGAACAATGTCTTTGCTTTTGCTCATAAATCAGTCCCACCGGTTACTGAGGGAATTGTCGCATTTTGCTGTGACACATTGCTGCCTTTGAGAGAATAATTGCCAGATTTGGCCAACTTGGGACCACCTTTCTGCATCTTCATTTCCTCTCTGGGGATGCCCTAAAGAGTATTTACTTTCACTTAAAAGAGAGCAATTTCTTCTCATGAAATCAAGTTTTCTCCATGAGCCAAGCTTGTTTTATGATATTAAACATTTAAATAAAAAATTATAAATGTACTGTAAAATGCTGATGGATGATTAATTTATTTTTATTTTGCATGTTTTAAGGCTGTGGGGATTACTGTTGTGAAGCAGATCCAAATATAGTTCTTGAATTCTATGTAGAGCTGAAAGAATCAGTCCCCAGCAATGGTTGAGTGGGCAGTAAGAGATGGCAGCCCACTCTCTGTGCCGTTGCTGTCCCAAGGAGAAGAAAGGAAAGAAGTTGGGGATGGAAGGGAAGTTTAGGAGCAATAGCGGCGATGGATGGATGAAAGGGAATTATTTCCCTTGTATCCTCTTTCCCTCAGCCAATGAGCCTTCCAGGATGGGCCTATCCTGTCCCTGCACAGCTGCTCCGTCCTTCAGGGTCACCCTGACTTTCTGTCCAGAGCACAGAACTTGAGCTGGGAGGCCCACGTCTGAGCCATCACTCTACTCCTTTTAGCTCTGTGATCTGGAGCATCACAGGAAACTCCGTTAAGCCTCAGTTTTGCCATCTGTGAAATGGGTGAGCAATCACCAACCAAACCACTGGGATACCCAGAAGACCCAATAATATCCTGACAACCCCTAAGGTGTCTGTGGACTTGATGAGCACAGCACCAACCCACACGAACTTCCCTGTGCTGCCTTCAGTGGTCTTGTGAATATACTGAGTAGTTCAATCCGGAATAAAAACATAATAGTCGCACACCATCTTTCCTTTGTCATGGTGGAAATTGAGGATTTACTCAGTTAAGTAACTTGCCAAAGGCTAAAGGAGGAATCCAAACCCAGGCGAGCATCAGTCCTTTGATTTGTTCTTCCCAAGCTGTTAAAAGATTGAGGAACCCAGAATTAGATCATGCACCTGGTACCTATGAAGCACTCACCTGTGCTTTCAAATACCACCCCTCAGTGGCGGGAGGGTCAGGAGCCGGTGGGCAGGACAACTGAACTAAACTAAACCAAACTACATTGAAGAGCAGGTCATTTTGCTCTGAGTGTGCGCGTGATGCTGACGGGGCCACATCAGGTTCAGATTTCGCTATGATTTCCCTGGCTCCTGGTTCTGAGCTTGGGAGCCAATCAGGCAGCTCTTGTGTGCCTCTTAACACACGAGGCTGTGGAGTGGCATCCACAGAGGCGCCTGGCGCGTAAGTAGCGGGTGTGAGATGCAAATCTGGGCTCTTAAGTCATAATCCTGTTGGTGACATCGCCTTCGGTTGCTACGGTGATGATTATGCTATCAGGAGGATTATCGTTTTCTGTGAAGAATGGGTAGAAAGACCAAACCAGCCTCCGAGAAACCAAAGGCTTCGTTCATAAACAATCACTCTGAAAAATTAAAACAAAGCATAGGAAGGAACATATTAGCTGACAAATGTGTGACACTGCGGATTCTTTTATTCCAAATAAAAAGCTTTTCAGGTTTTTAAGTTCAAAGCTTGTTTTAGGGCAGAAAATAAGTCATCATAACAAAAGAACAAAAAGGGGAAATATGACAGAAGACAAGGAAAGCAGAGAAAACACAAAAGTTGAAATGTAGCAGATAACAGAACAGAAGGATATTAAATGACTTTTAATGAAAGGATTACCCTGAAAAAATACAACTCAGAGAGCAAAATATTTTAATTATTTTATTACAGGAAGAAAGCAAATTAGCTGTCACCCATAAATAAACACAATCCACATATTAGAGTGAATTTTGAGATGAAAATTTTCAGTTGGGACTGACTGAATAGAAGGCCCATGTTTGTACATGGATTTCCATGTAAGTTGAACATTCTTCATTGACCATATCAGGTTGTCAATTGATGTTTCAATCTAGCATCAGTTTAGTGTTAGGTATAAACAAAAGCCTTTAAAAAGTGAGACGTACATTTGTGGCGATCTTGATGCTTCCATTCAAAACACCTCAAATGAAAAGCCCCTGTCCCATCTCAAATTCCAATTCCCTTTTAAATTGTAAGGAGCTAGCTTGTGTATTGGTTTTAATTAGCATGGGGCCATCTATTTCGGATTTTATGTTGTACATTTTTTTTTTTCTGAATCAGAGAATAATCTGTTATTCTTAAGATATATTCCATATTTGTTAACCATCCAAATTTAGACCTATCTGTATCAGTTAGCAATGTTGGAATAACAAATCTTTCCATAACCCAGAGGCTGAAAACAACGGGTATTTATCACTTACGATCCAGTAAGAGAGTTGCCCGGCACCACGGCTGGGCTAGGCTGGGCTCCGGACTCCCAGCTCCTGGCTCCAGGTTCCAGGCTCCAGGCTATGATTTGAGTTGAGTTCTGCTCCTTGAGCCTCCCATTATCCTTGAACTAGTGGTTACCCAGGGCGTGGTTTCTTGTGGTAACAGTAGGAACACAACAGGCCATGAGGAAGCACCAGATGCCCTCTAGGCTTGGCTCAGGACTGGCATGTTGTCTCTGCTTATGTTCCATTGGCCTGAACAAGCTACTTATCCAAGCCCTGCTTCAGTGGGATGAGGCAAGTGGCCCTGGGAAGAAGGGAGGGAAGATTTTCTGCATTGTAACCCAGCACATGGTGCCATCTGACCAGAGGCTGCTCTATCCTCTTTGGACCCTGAGGAGGAGGCATCTTATAGCAGCAAGAGCATGGAATGGGAAGCAGTGGAATTTCAGCTCTGTGTTCATCACTTCTCAGTCATGGGGACTTGGGCAAGCCTCTGAGCCCCAGCCCCTTCTTCTGCAAGGCAGTTGCTGCAGAGTATGTGGGAGCACAGCCTTGGAAGCCTGGAAGACACGCATCTGAGTTCTGGTATTTGCCACCTGCTGGTTGTACACTCCTCGATGCTGTTTCCTATCTGTGAAATGGGGATAAGGCCACCTCTCTTCCTTGTTGGAAGTCCAGTGCAACTCCCTGTTGGGAGTGGGGGGAGATATGGCAAAGGGACTATCAGATCAAATGAGCAAACAAAAGTGAAGTATGTAACACTTTGACTGGCATGCCATCAGTGTTTATACAATGTGCACAATTTTATTATTTGTAAGTATAGAGTGATCCCCAGAAAGATATGTGTGCTAACACCAAGAACTTGTAAATGTGACCTTGTTTGGAAAAAGAGTTTTTGCAGAGGTGATTAAGTTAAGGATCTTGATATGAGATCTTCCTGGATCCTCCAGGTGGACCCTAAATCCAATGACGAGTATCCTTAAATAGACAGGGCATGGTGGTTCACACCTGTAATACCAGCATGTTGGAAGGCTAAGGCAGAAAGATTTCTTAAGCCCTAGAGCTTGAGATTAGCTGGGGCAACATAGTGAGACCCCATCTTTAAAAGAAAAAAAAATCAGCTGGGCATGATGGCATATGTCTGTAGTCCCTGCTGCTTGGGAGGCTGAGGCAGGAGGATCACCTGAGCCTGGGAATTTGAGGCTGCAGTGAGCCATGATTGCACCTGGGAGTTTGAGGCTGCAATGAGCTGGATTGCACTCCAGCTTGGGTGATAGAGCAGAACCCTGTCTCAAAAAAATAAAAAATAAAAATAGACACACAGAGCAGAGACAGGGAAAGAGGAAAAAAACATGTGAAATGAAGGCAGACTTTGGAGTGATGTGTCCAAGCCAAGGAACACCAAGAGCCACCAGTGCTAGAAGAGGCCAGGAAGGGTCCTCCCGCAGAGCCTCTATGGGGAGGATGGCCCTGCTGATACCTTGATTTCAGACTTTGAGCCTCCAGAACAGGGAGGGAATATATTTCCCCACTGTGGTCATTGGTTACGGAAGCTCTAGGAGACTTCTACACATGGGTTGCTGTGCAGGGTATAGCCCTGTCCTGGGAAACTCATGTGTGTGGCTGAATGTCCTGGTTGTGACTCCGGTTTGTACCTGGGGTTCGAGTTAGGCCTCTCAACCACAGCAGTTACAGAGCAGAGGAGGGTCTTATACCTTGAACCAGACTGCTCTGGCCTCCCAGAAGAGGAGCCAGTCTATACAGGGAGCCAGCGCAGGCAGAGCTCGCTATGGGTGAGGAAGTCTGTATGGGGCCAGGCAGCGGGGCTGGGGAAAGAGCTCCATGGGGAGGTGATGAGTGAGCAGAAAACTGAAGGAGGTGACAGGCATGTGGGGGTCAGGAAGCACTCCAGACATGGCAGGCCTGGGCCCTGGGCAGATGTGTGAAAGAACCAGCAAAGAAGCTGTGGGCACAAAGCTTTGAACCTGGCACATAAGAGAAATATCATGCACACCAGACACTGTGGTGAGCAGGCTCAGCTCGAGTCAGGGAGAGCCACCTCCTGCAGGATGTCCCAGAACAGACGTTTGTGTCACTCACGGAGCCAGAGGTTGAGGGGATCTGCTTTCCCAGGTGCCAGCCATCCTCCACGAGTCCTCCTTCTCCTCCTCTTCTCCTTCTTCCCCCTTCACCATGCATGGTGTGACTTTTCAGATAAATGAAACAAAACAGCCCCTTTTAAAGACCTACTAAGAGCCTCCATCCCCTGGTTCTCTCAGCCTTTTCCCTTGCTACTTGGAAAAAGAAGGGGCCAAGTTGAGAGGAATGGCCAGGTTGAGGGGAGCTATGCAAATGAGTATGAAGCCCACTTCCTTCCGACCGTGGGCTGAGAGATGGCTCTTCTTCCCCTCTCATTATCAAGGGTCAAATGGAGGCTCTTGGAGGCCTGCACCTTTCAGAGCTCATAAGCCTAGCAGCTGTGTGGAGAGGGAGCCGGGCCTTTCAAGGGTCATCCCCTGTCAGCCTGGGCAGTGTGAGGAGTGGTCCAAGGGATGCCCGGCCAGGGTCACTGGGCCCTGATGGCAAGTCCAAATCAATGTCCCATGCAAGCAAGGGGTGGTGAGATGGCTTTTGTATTAGTCCATTTTCACACTGCTACAAAGACATAGCCAAGACTGGGTCATTTATAAAGAAAAGACTGGTATTTGCCACCTGCTGGTTGCACATTCCTTGATGCTCAGTTTCCTTATCTGTGAAATGGGGATAAGGCCATCTCTCTTCCTTGTTGGAAGTTCAGTGCAACTGCCTGTTGGGAGCGGTGGGAGATATGGCAAAGGGACCGCAGCATTGGGGATGCCTCAGGAAACTTACAGTCTTGGCGGAAGGGGAAGAGGCATGTCTTACATGGCAGCAGGCAAGAGAAGTGTGTATGAGTGAAGGGAAAAGAGCCCCTTGTAAAACCATCAGATCTCTTGAAAACTCACTCACCAACATGAGAACAGCATAGGGAAGCTGCCTCCATGATCCAGTTGCCTCCCACTAGGTCCTGCCCTCGACAGGTGGGTATTGTGAGGACTATAACTCAAGATGGACGTTGGGTGGGGACACAAAACCTAACCATATCAGCCTTGCTTTGAGATATCCAAGCCAACACCTTGCCATCCACTCTGTCAACTCAGGGTTGGGTCACTGTCTGAGGCTGGCCAGGAGCACTGGACAAAAAGGATGTGGTTGCATAACTGCGTATCTGTTCCTGCTGGTGGCTCCCAATGGCGTCAAGAGCCGTCAGTAGCAAGTGTATGTCATGTAAAATCACAAGTGCAGAGCCCTCTGGACCAGGCTGCCTTCCCACTCAGATATCCCGTCAGTGTGAACCATCGCTTCACATTAAGATGCAATCAGACATCAACAGACACAACATGTCTCTAGAATCAGCTGCATCTGGCCACATCCAGAGTGGGTTTATGTGCCAGCCAATGTTACTGGGGACTTCACAGTTTCGTTTTCTGTTTTTTTTTTTTTTTTTTTTGAGATGGAGTCTCGCTCTGTCGCCCAGGCCAGAGTACAATGGTGTGATCTCAGCTCACTGCAAACTCTGCCTCCTGGGTTTAGGCCATTCTCCTGCCTCAGCCTCCTGAGTAGCTGGGACTACAGGTGCCTGCCACCACACCCGGCTAGTTTTTTGTGTTTTTAGTAGAGATGGGGTTTCACCGTGTTAGCCAGGATGGCTCTGGAGACATGGTGTGTGGGCTCCAGACCTGTGCTTCCATGGCTGGGTGGACAGCATCCCATCCAGGACACAAGTTTTGGGTCAGAGGTCTGGGATCCACTGATTGGCTCCAGTCCATCATGGCCCATCCTGGGACTCAGTGTGTGGTCAGTTCCAGCCACTCCAGGTGGCTTAGCATGTCACCAAGCTGTCTTCTCAAGCAGCATGGGCAGTGTGGCCAGAGGGCGGGGAAAAACTGCTGGCCAGGAGAC